GGCCTCACTGCCATGTCCCCCACCAACTCCATAGTTTTAAAGAAACTGCATATTATCTTAACAGCTGCAAATCTGTTTTCCCCATTTTTTCATTTTCTCATACAGTTGTGGTAGGAGAGAATCAGATTAAGGTCTTGGTGGCAAACAGTGGATCAGTTGTCACAGGGGTCATTGACCCAAAATAATTAATAACCCAATGTTTAGAAACCATTTGTCTTTGTTATTTTTGACGTACACTAGTGACTGACCCAATGGCAAGACTAGTTTGATAACACACATAATTTTATCCCTCAGGCAGGAGAAGTAAACCTAGACAGGTTTAACAGGTAATACTCAACAAGCTCCTTCCATTTTCCTTCTCCAGTCTAGCCAGAGAAAGGAGCTTGATAGGAAAGTTAGTAAACAATAGCAAAGATGCCAGTGAATTAAGGCAGAGATGAAATCAGCCACTGGTGGGGTGAGTCTGGATGTCTCCTTCTCCACAGACTCTTCATGGAGGTAAGCCAATGTCCCATTCACTGCCTGGGGGAAGGAGCTATTCAGTGATGAGACTTACCTAAGCAACTTCTAGGTCTACAGGGAAGGAAGTAGCTAAGTGTTCAGTCGGGAAACGTAAGCACTAACGGCAAGACAATATTTCTAATGAAATAAAAACAAACAAACAAACTTTATTTACAAGAAACAACTGTACACTGTGCATACATAAAAATATATAAAACCAAAATAGAAAATACAAAAGTGTTAAAATGTATACAAACACTGTTTAAAAATGTGACTCCTGGAAAATCTCAAGTTTTCATTTCTTGGAGAGTGCACATTCATTTAAAAAATTATCATACAAAATAATTCTCAAGGGTATTAAAAAGTACACAGTCGTTTTCTATCTGAATAGCTCAGCAACTACAGCTTTAGAGAATGACATGATATGCATGAATTTAAGATATGAGCCTAGCTTGTTCTTTAGGAACATATTTTCAAATCCCAGGTTGCATACAGTACTGTAGGAGTGAAAAGCAGCTTCCTATATCCTTCCATTCTCTTCCCCTTCTTATCTATTTCAGTGCCTTCACCAAGTTGTGAGAATTGAACACTGTGGGCTTTATCTTGCAGAGCTGCAGTGAGTGTAAGGTGATCATGCTAAACCAAGGAAAGTATGTATCCCCATTTATGGATGGGTGAGTGTGATCTCTCTCCACCACCCCCCATCTGCAATTCTAGGAGACACAGCCTACCATGTTCAATACCCCCAACCCCACTTCTGAAGGTACCATCTGTGGGTCACAGAACTTGCAGAAGGAAGGGAAGAGTTGGCTGTGTGAAGCTGCTTTCCATCTGTATCTTGTTGGATACAATCCTGTACCATCATGAGAAAAAGCTGAAATATGGAATATCAAACATGCATTTTACTAAAAACAGATAAGGAACCATTGACTCTTCAGACGTTTGGAGTCTCAACTCTTATACTACCTAACAACTGGCCATTTTGGCTGGGGCTTCTGAGAGCCAAAGTGTAACAAACATCTAAAAGGCCAAAGCTGTTCTCTTTCTGTCTCTGAATGGTTAAATCAAGTGTCCTCTTTGCACAGAAAGCATTAGTATGGAAATCTTTATCTCCACAAGAGAATTTGTTTTAAATGGTTGAAATTTACAGCATTTACAACTCCAGATCATCTCTGCATTGGCTTAGTCTTCTAAAGACAATGTGACTCATATTCAGTTCAATCCTGTCATATGAGTGACTGAAACTTTGAAATTTACATTCATAACTTCTGTGCTCAATTTACACACAAGTAAAACTACAATGGTGCACTATGTCTGAATGTTTTATATGTTTGAACTACTTAAAAATTAAACATTGCAATCAATTTATGTGTCTTAGTACTACTCTGGGAGTTGGTTAAAACCCTGCTGGACAGAATTCAAAATACATTCTACCCAATTTTTTCTAGGGCTAAGCATTATTTTCCAAAACATTTATTTATGTTCAATAAGCCAAGGGTGACTTTTAGCAAGTGTGGAGGAATATTCTGCAGCTTTAACTTCTAGCATCTCAGATATTCAGTGTCTCTTTACTTACTTAGGGATACAGTCAACTAACCCCTGAGTTGACTATACGAGTATGGTACAATTTACACTTACTGCTGACTAGGGTCTCTCTCTCTCTCTCTGGCTGCTATCTTCTATGCAAAGGAAAATACAGTCCCTACTAAGCAGAACTATACTATTCCATTTACCACTAATGCCCTCAAAACCTCTCAGAACTTACTCAGACCCTTTCATTAATTTTTCTGGGGAAAACATAGAACCATTTAAAGCAAGGACTGCCATCCTTATTTCGCAGACTAACGTCTCAGTCCTGTAGCTGCTAAAAAGTCCCACTGGCTTGAAAAGAAGTTACTTCCAATTACAGTGGACCCTCTACTTACGGAATTAATCCGTATTGGGTTGGTGGCTGCAAGTCGAAAAGTCTGTAGGTCGAATCTCCATTGACTTACAATGCATTGAAAACTGATTAATCCCATAACTGGCGGTTTTTATTCTATTTTTGTTCCATTTTGGGTTTTTTTCCGGTCTATAGGTCGATTCTCTGGCTGCAAGTCAAATCTAAATTTTGCAGCCAGATAAGTCTGTAACTCGAAAAGTCTGTAAGTCGAGGGTCCACTGTAGATATGTATAAATGCATTCTAAGAGATATATTCCATCAACAGATGCAAGGTTTTTTTAAATTTCTAAACTCATTTAACTGTGCTTCCATAATTACAATTAGCCACACCAGATGTAATGCTAACATGAATCATTGCCTTAGTCTTATGTACAGACTAGGCCATTATGTAATTTAATAAATAGTAGATGCTTTCCATCTTCCAGTTTTAAGCTACAGGTGCAGCTGGCAAAAGTGTAAAATATGACTAGAGGTGGGCGTGAACCACTGAACCAGCAGTTTGTGCCAGTTCGTTTTTCAGCTGAACAGGTGTTGGGTCGCGGGCACCCACTCAGAGTAGGGAGGGCTACTCTGGAAGTACCAAACACCTGTTTGCCCAAAAAATGAACCAGCACGAATCACAGGTTTGTGCCCATGTCTAATTATGACTGATCTACTTGGAGATAAATCCCATAGAGTTAAATGGATACAAGTTATTAGGTTACGATTCTGTACACACTTTCCTAAAAGGAAACAGTGAACATGGTTGCGAAAACAAGTTACATGAACGAGAAGGGTCTAGGGATAGAAAAAGTAACAATGATCTGAATACCCCCAAGTCACAGATGAGAAAAGAAAGGGTATAAGAACAGAATGTTTTAGTAACAAAAACTCTGGCTCAGCAGTGTAGAGAAATTCCCTGTAACAAACATAAGGGAACCCTTGATTTAACCATCCGAAGGTGTATATGCATAAAAACTGAAAAAGTACCACATTAAAAAAATTCACAGTGGAACGCATAGACCGTAACTGATAATAATAAAAGAACAGTTCTGTTTACCCAACGTGTTGAGTGCAACTTTTCATTTGTGCAGCCATCAGTGCACAGAAAATGAGAGGCTTTCCATCAAATGCTAACCAAAATCCACCTCTTCACCAACCCTTGCTTCCCCCCCCCCAAAAAAAAGCCTTTGAACTAGGAAACAAACCAAAAGCTGAAACAGTCTTCATACTTATTTTAAAGTGAGATTTCTCACTTACTTCAAGTAGGTCTTAACAGACATTTATGCAATATTTATAAATCTGACATAGGTTGAAGATGAATTGTATATAGTACAGATGACCTAAAAACATACAAAATTCTATTTAACATCTAATACACATTCATTTACTGTCTTTAAACTGAACAGTATAGACTTTCAGTAACCTTCGCCTAGTGTTTTCCTTTGCCTTGTGACATTTTTCTTAACAAAAAGTATAACTGGAGAAGGAGTGGTGGCAAGCAGAGCAATGTACGTGGTAGTCCTGTATGCTTTTATCCCCCTGTCCTCTCCCCTTCCCAGTTACTTTGGAGTAAGCTCAGTAGTTCAGGCATCTCGCTGTGGAGCCAGAGGTTAGGAGTTAAATTCCCCACTATGTCTCCTGCAAATAAAGCCAGCCTGTGTGGCCTTGGGCAAGCTGCACAGTTCCCAGACGAATGTACACCTCTGAGTAATCTCTACCTAGAAAACCCTGGAAAGGGTCACCATAAGTCAGAATTGACTTGACAGCACATTATTCAATTACACTAGTGCTTTTCATCCATTTAATTAAGCCACTTAAATGCTGCCATAAGAACCAAGAATAATATTAAAAACCTGTAGTCCAAACCCACTGAAGTCAGTGGAGCAAAAAACTCTACAGTGTACAGTACATTGCTAAGCCAGTTGCACTGGAACACAAACATCATGAAATGGGAAGCAGAGCTTTGTTAAAAGTAATTCAGGCTTCGCAGTATCCACTGGTTTTGTGCCAGTTTACACTTTGGAAGAGGAAAATCTTTTCTGACCTCTGTTCAAAGTCACCATAAATTCAGGTTTTTGAAGAAATAAATAAGCAACAGTGGGCAACAGCAGTGGGTCTTGGGCTCATTCTGCCAAGACTGGCCAACCTGGAGGGTGACCACACAAATTAGGCCATAAACTGAACCACCAAATGATGGGCAACCTAGAAAAGCTACTTTAAAATGAGCATGGTGTGCTTGTTTAAAGGGATTTTGATGGTATTAAATTCAGCAGCATATTTTGTACCCAGAATCTTACCTATGCAGTTTTGAAGTGGATATGCATAGAAGCTACAAAAACAGCCTTGGAAGAATACATAATATACACAGCTAAGTCACCCTTGTCCTAGATGCACTATGAAAATAACAGCATTTAGAAATGTACCTAATTCACTGTAAGTAATGCTAAAATGTACGTCTGACATAAGCAGCTTTGATTCACTCTGATCCAAATTAAATTACAGAATTGTTTAATCTAAATATTAACTGTAACAGGAAATGATCTGATCCAAATTAAATTACAGAATTGTTTCTAAATTTTAACTGTAACAGGAAATGGCTACATTTTCAACTATGGGGAAAGTGGAAAGTATCATTCTCTGATGGCTCTGAAAACATTAGACAGGTCCGTATGTAACAGTTGACTAGCTTAATGAAACTTGTATGCTCAGAGGTAGCATATGTCCAATGTCCAAAGAAGGACAGAAAAAGGCCACCACCATTAGGTTTGCACACTTGATCATTCAATTACTCTTGGAATCAGAGTACCTGTATCAGGACTAGATGGACATTCATTTTGATTCAGCCAGACTATTCCTATGGCCCAGAATCAAAATACAAAATTTCTTTCCAAGAGGACTGGGGAAAGAGAATGTTGAGGTGCAGAAGCAATGCTTAAATATTCCTCAATCAGCAAGCAGATCAGTGATCTTTAAGAAAGAATTTTTTCACATTGCTACAACACATATTTGGCTCAAAAGACAACCTACCAAATTGAAGTGTGCAAACTTGTGTTTTCAGATCACAACTCCCCATGGTGCCTGGGGAGTTCTGGAAGATGTAATCCATAAAAAAACAAATATCCACACCTTTTACCCCCATATAATAACCCTTGAGTTCTTGGCTTCCAGTCAGTCACTTACTTTTTATTTACCATGGGTAGCCCTAGTTACTGTCACGGCAGGAAATGCCAAGAAAATTACCAAGTCCCAACAGCCAGCGGTGGTGTAGCATGGGCAAGGCCACAGGGGTGCTTGACCGGGTTGCAAAATTTCAGCCCTGTCATGGAGTCATCAGGTGAGGCAGAGTGCACAGCAGGGGAGAGTGTGTGAAGCTCCCCTCCCCTCTTCTGGCTGCAGCTGCCTCACCCACTCCGTTTCTCCCTCTGGGCAGCTGGCGGCAGAAATGAGGTTTGGTCAAGTGGACCCATCTCCTTGGAGAGGGTGGCCTGGAGCAGCCTGGCCTCCTTCCCCCAGCGTAAACAAAGCCGGCAGGCCACGTGAAGGGGGTAGTGTGGGGAGGTGGCTCTGCTGGCACCGAGTCCCCTCCCTGCTGCTTCCCAAGGCAACCTCAAAGGGGCGTAATACTAGCCTTGCCCTGGGTGCTGGCATCCCAAACTATGCCACTGACAGCCAGCACAACCTTCCTGTTCCTTTTCCCTGAGCAATGCTATGTTTGGCTACTGGGGCACTCGGCACAATCCAAATTTATGGCAGGGATGCTGAATAAAGAGTTCTGTGAGCCACTGTACAAGAGGAAAAAGAATGAGAAATTATTGAACTGCCCTGCTTTCTAAAGGTGAACTGCCCACTAAATTTCACACACATACATACAAATGAGGAAAAAAAATGCATTGCTTTTCTTCATCTATTGGAGGCAAGCCATTTCTTGTGCAGCCTGTTATATCCGCTAAGCACACATCTGTAGGCATGCACCAATATGCAGGCAGAGAGAAGGAATGATTATGCCCTATGCTGATACCTCTGGGCCCTGCACAAAACAGACCCTAAAGGGAACAAAAATATCACTTTGCTGTTTGCTTTTTAAAACTCAGTATCATGAGATACTGTGTCAATGGCAAATCAGAATCTGTTTCAGGACTCCATCGAGTAGCTGTCCCTAATGGAGAAAGGGAGGGGGATCATGTAAACACTCTGTTCGCATAAGCACTCTGTTCTGGGAGTTGTAAACACTGGCAAGATGATTGCTCTCCTTCCATGAAAAGCAACAGTAATGTAAAATTTCCATGGGGAAACAAAACCTGGCATAAACCCACGGTTCCCATAATTGACTGCACTTGCAAGAGTTCACACAAGTTCACATGGACTATACTCTTCCCAGCTGACTGCTGGAAATCACTCTTGGGGGTGGTGGTGGAAATGGGATCTTACAAACAAGACTTTTTCTGTGCAATCCTGCTGCCTCACCTCAGTCATGGCCAGTTATGAGAGGTCAAAAGAGCATCACAGTCTGTCTGCAACCTTATGTGTTCTTCTGTTAGTTTTTTTTAAACTCAACAAAAAGAAAAGTTCATTAAGGAAAAAAGGCGTAACTGTACAATGCCTTTTAACTATGAGCACTAGTAACCCACTGCCCAGAAACAGCCTCAGATAAATTGCATTCTTTATTTGAGGACCAAAATCACTGTCATAATCTGATTACTTGAAACTTTCCTCACACAGCCTGCTGAGCACCAGATAAGATTTTTCTCCCCCTACAGAAATGAGTCACCACCCATGTGTGGTAAAACTATTACAACATGATGGTTCAATGAAAGGGGAGAATCAACTCCACATTAAAAAAAGCAGGAGAATGCCTTCTTATCCTTTTTTCCCCTGTACATACTGTCAATTTATGTATCTAACCAAATATGCAGTCTTAGTGCACGTTAAAAGACTAGAGTAAAACTGTTTATGCCAAGTTCCACTAAAAAAGAGAGAGCTTAAATACAATCATCTTAAATTATCAGAATATGGCTCATTATATTAAAACATATACGATATTGATATGTACTTAAACGATGAGGGGGCAGAAATCATAAGACTTGACTTGATTTTGTTGTAACTCTTTCCAGACCTAGCTATTAAAACTCCTTGTCTTCATGAATACAGTCTGGTCTGTGTGGTAAAATTAATGATTGATGTTATCGGATGCACAACTACTCACTTATCCTTTGCCCTTGCTGTATTTTGCAGCGCTCAAAAGATAAAGTTTGAAAAAAAAATCACTACCTGCAAAGCAATAATAAATGCCGAGGCCACAGAGGCGTGAAATTTGCTTCGTGCCTTCTTACTTACTAACTAAAGTTAATAGACTCAAGACTAGGTTGATCTAGGATCCATTTTTCAAGTATTTGCTTTTCCTTCTTCTTCTTTGTTAGTATGACAGTAGCACCTTATTGCACATTGCTTTACAAAAGATTCACCCTTATGTGTATGGGGGGAGTGGATTTTTTTGTCCAGGGCATTTCACTGACCTGAACCCTGGCAAAATCACTTTCCCTTTCCGGTACAAATCATCCTGGAAGCCTCTGTTCATCCTCTGCACCAACAGCTTCTCATAAAGCAGTGGGTGGTAGGCCCCCAAGGTACAGGCCGCATCATAGTAGAGTTCATGATAGTGGCAAAGATCAGTTTGTCGGACGGAAGGAATGTATTCGTAAACATGCACTTCACTGCACATTGACATCATGATGAGGATCCCTAAAAAACACAAACGCAAAGAATATATATTTATAGTAGGTCAGTACAATACCCAGTTGTTTCTTTTTAATTGTTGCACCTGCAAAAGTCAATTCAAGCTCTATATGCTAAAAAAAGAGAGTAGAAATATCAAACCCATGAGGAGAGTCCTTTTACATATTGTTCAGGTGACCAGGTACAGTATAAAAATAAAGTATCAAAGATTATCCCCAGTACAATATACTACTTTGAGACACAAATAGAAGCATAACGTCTTACATATTTATTCCCATCAAATTCCAAAGGAATAGTTTTGTCCTCGTCATTAAGAGTAAAATATTTTCACAACTTTTCAGTCCACTGAAATATTTATATTCCCTGGAAAATAAATGTTCTCCGTTTGCACAGTGTTGCTTATAAATCGTAGTAAATATAGTAGTTCAAAGCAGCCTAGTGCCCATAATAATTCCCAGGGCCTCACTATAGTGTCCATTTTTAATCAGAGAGCAATAATAAATCTTTTATGTTATGGGAAGATGTACAAATGATGCAAATAAATAAAGAGTTTCTGCTTATAATTTTCTTCTCTTATACAAGACCCCATGTTCATTTTAAGCCAGGTCATCCTGTTTTCACTCTTGTTAAATGCTTTTCAGTTCACACCTATTCATGAAATGAATCTCAGAAAATGAAAAAAAAAAACAAAGAGGTGCACAGAGAACTGGACAATAAAAAGATATCCAACCATGAATAAGGAGTAGACTCACAGAACTGAAAATGACTCCAAAGTTCACCAAGTCCAATCCCCTTCTAAAGCAGGAAAACCACATCTGAAGCATCGTTAACAAAAGGCTATTCAGACTCTGCTCAAAATCCTCCAGTGAAGGACAAGGTTGTCCATTCCATCATCAAATGGCTCTTGCTGTCCAGAAGTTCTTCCCAATGTTTACCTGAAATCTCTTTAGTGCAATTAGAACCTATTCATTTGGGCCCTACTCTCTGGAGCCACTCAAAACAAGCTTGGTCCATCTTCCACGGGGCATCTATTGGAAAATCTAGAGGGGCCTATCCTACCCCCTCTTCTCCGAAAACCAAACATACATAACTACTGAACTATTCTTACTAGGGCTTGCTGAACCTAGGTTGTGTTCCCTGATAAACCTCTGCATACTAAGGATACAAACAGACGAGTTTCATTTATGGATGAAGTAGAGAGAGAGTAGGTGGTTGCAGCACCACAGCATTTGTTTACAGGACTGCATGCGAGACAGGTATTAAGGTTAGTGTGTCCTCGTTTCACTCACCTTACTGGTTCTGCAGTAGAAAAATTACCGGTTACCACTAAGGACCAAATTATTAATTTCTGTTTTGTGGGAAGCAACCATGAGCCTCAAATGCCCAAACTACCTCTGTCCTAAGAATTTGAATGTATACTCCTTTACATCCAACCTAGTTCAAGAATTCAGAAGAATAAGAAGCTGAAAGAAACAGGAAGACGTGGCTATCTATACAGTGGGGTCTTGACTTACAAACTGCCCGAGTTACGAACATTTTGACTTACGAACCGCTCTCATAGGAAAATATTGACTTGACTTACGTACTTAGATTTGAGTTGCGAACTGAAAAAAAAACTGAAAAAAAACACATGGGAGGCAGGGAAAGTGCAAAATTTGAACTTTCAGTTAACTGTTGGCTAGTGAAAAGGGTGCCTGTCTGCTTCCTCACTCCTCCCAGCGTTTAGAGATTGGATTGGGAGACAGTCTTCAGACTGCCTGGTACTGCCTGGACTGTATTTTCCCTGCCTTCCCTGAACCTTTCTTGACCTAAGAAACAAAATATCCCCCTCTAGTGGTCGAAGGCGGAATAGCAGCTTCCCATTAGTTTCTATGGACGGAAAAGAGCAGATACGGATCAAATGGTTCTCAATGCATTCCTATGGGAAATGCAGATTTGACCTGAGAACTTTTTGACTTGAGAACCGCCTTCCAATACAGATTAAGTTCTCAAGTCAAGACCCCACTGTAAAATCATGGGAAATGGCACTGGCTGGCTTTGTAATATCATGGGGGGGCGTGCTTAAGGGAGAAATTGGCTATGAAAATTCTATTATTTTTACAAGGTATCTGAATCAGCAATCCATGATGCCGTGTTAGTTAATGATTTGTATCTAGAAATCAACAGTTTAGCTAAATGAAACATTGTTTTTTTGTTTTTCAGTTCTATAAATGCTTTCTTGTGCTTGTCCGCTGTCAGCCTCCTTCAGCTGCTGATGGAGAAACCACAAACGTCAAGACCATCCAGCTAAACCAGAGAGCAGAAGGAGGAGTTACATGTCACAGCCAAGTACTTCCACAAGTGGATGAAAAGGTGGTTTGCCTTCTGAGCCCAGAGTCAAGCACGGAACCAGGTTCAGATAACACCCCACAGCTCTCAAAGGAAAATTCATTCTTGTAAACAAAGTACAAGCTGTTAACCTCCACAACTACATCGCCTATATTACAGTTTTTATTACCAATGTGCTTTTTTTAAAGGTATCTACTGTGTATTAAGGACAGGAGGAACAGAAAATATGTTGCTATTGCAATTTTTAATACTGGAAAAAAACACAGGAATTATGTGAGGATAGTGGTGAGGGGAAAAATAGAAAAAGATCTAGATTCACAAGGGAATAACTTTAATATGGGGTTGACTAGAGTTGAACAGCAGATACCTTTATGTCCATTCTATTAAAGTTAGCAAGACATTTAACTCCTGAGGTCATAAAACCACAACATTCTTTTTAATGTTCATAGCCTGATAAGCACTGACCACTAGAATTACATCGCTTGTAAATTGGAACATTATAAACATTGTTTGGCTCACACATATTTTGGTTCAGCATATGGATTAGTAATACCCATTCTAAAATTCCAATTCTGATTCTCCCAAGTCAACATCATAAAATAAGCCCCCCCCCTTCTGAGCTATCCACAGTAGCTCAATCTTTCAGACAGAGATGCACTTTAATCACTAACTCTGTGGATTATAGCAAAATTTTTGTATAACTTATGGGGCTCTTTTCCCCCTTAGGATTGCCAAACATCACTTTTGCAACCATGCCCTAGAGGAGGCCTATAATTATTAAGCTGAGTCCAGCCTACTAGCTGTGTATAGTTTTTTCCCCCCATTTATGTGACTTCTTTGTCTTAAATGTTCAAAACAGTTTACAATAAGAACCTTTCCATACTCTGTATTTATAGGCAACACATTTAATAAAGCTGCTAGGAAACCATTATACATGACAGGCAGGGTGCATTCAACTCAATACGCCATATGTCCAGACTGACTCTACTGAAAACACATAATGTTACGAGTGATCATATCTCAGCTTACCTAGCTAAGATGAATAAGCCTTTTGGCTTTACACTCAGCTCCATTGCTCCTCCCTTTTGTAAAAACGAGAAAACAAACTAGAAATCTCTTTCATTGGCAATAGCTCCCTCTTTCATCTAGACTGGAAAACTGTCAAGGAACTTAGATCATGTTGGATCACCTGGAAAGTGCTGCTCTCTTAGGTCCCACTGCCTTTAAAGTGACCTTTTCTGTGCACGTATGATTTGATCCCCACTGCCCAGCCCAGGTACAAAAAATACCAAAGAAAGAAAGAAAGAAAAGAGTAGTCCTGCTGCTGGACCAAAAAAAAGGTTTGGGCAGAGAGTTGGTCTGGAATTTCCTGTATGTCACGTGGTGGCTGGGAAACAGCCTAAACCAGACCATGCCACAGGCCGTCCAAAATGGGACCTTCTGCCATCTCATTTCACTCTGTAGTTAACAGCAATGGAACAAACCAAGATACTAAGCCACTTAATACTGTATTCTGCTTAGTCCTAAATGTGTTAATCAGTTTTGAGAACGACTTCATTAACATGAAGGGAAGAATGAAGGGAAGAATGAAGGGATACACATGTGGCTAAAAGTCTAGCCTGAGTCCTAAATGTGTTAATCAGTTTTGAGAAAGACTTCATTAACTTTGTTAAGGCAAGTTTGTTTGCTTTCTCACTTGAAGGGGAGAATGAAGAGGATACACATGTGGCTAAAAGTCTAGTTCATATGTGAATTCATTTCCTGGCAATATGGTTGTCCAGAGCTGTCTGGTAATAAGGACTGGAGCTGCAGCTGTGCCACAGAGAGCCAAATAATAACCGGATACGATTATAAAACAGGCTTGATGTGTGGTTTTCTCAAGCTTGCACAGTCTCTTTGCATTAAAGGGAAATAAATGTACAGTGCCCCTTTCCCACTTCATGGCTTGCCAAAGTAACAGCACATGGGGTAGAGAAGTCCAGAATCCCCTCTTTTCAAAACGAAAGCTAAAAGTAAGATTCCTAAGGCATAGATGGCTCGTGGCTGTGGCAAGAAGGCACTCCCTGAAATTCTGGGGTGAGATGAATCCTCAGGATGCATCCTCACCCTGATCCCTGTTCTAATGTGTTTTTAAAAAAACTTGCCCAATAAAGTGATGTTGGCAACAGTTTGAAAGAAACTCATTGTTCAGCATCACTCAGTTTACACTAGCAAGTTAACTGGTCTCATGCCTCACAAACATATGGCTACTTTGTCAAAGTACAGTACCTGAAAATGTTGGTCTATGTGACCTAGAGCAATGGATCCCCAACCTTGGGCCTCCAGATGTTCTTGGACTACAACTCCCAGAAGCCTTCACCCCCACCTCTGCTGGCCAGGACTTCTGGGAGCTGAAGTTCCAGAACCTCTGGAGGCCCAAGGTTGGGGACCGCTGACCTAGAGTACAGAATGACCTTTCTGTTTATTAACTCTATAAAAATTCTGACTCCATATCTTAAATCTGTTTTATGTAAGGCAGTGGTGTAGAACTGTGGCCCTCCAGATGTTCTTGGCCTTCAACTCCCAGAAATCCTGGCCAGCAGAGGTGGTGGTGAAGGCTTCTGGGAGTTGAAGTCCAAGAACATCTGAAGGGCCACAGTTCGACACCACTGATTGTAAGGGATTCAGAATGGTTTTGAACCTCTCTCTCTTGTTCATGGTGTCAGATATGAATGCAGTTAAGAAACTTGCAAGAAAAAGAAACAAATGTATGTCCCATTCAATGAACCATATCTATGTCAGGAGCCTGAATAAGAACAGCCCCTTTGTTTCTAAAGCCAATTTATACTATTTTAGGTCCAATGTGTCAACAGTCTAACATGGTTATGCCTTGTAAATTCCTTCTTTGACAGTTCATCTTATGAAAATGCAAAACGGTCACAGGACGTAAGTTAAAAGGTATGATTATTCTTTACTGCCTTAATGCAGAGTTGAACATTATATAGAATTGCTATGGTGCCTCCCATGTTATTGATGTTAGGTTGCATCTATCCAGACTTTCAGATTAAGTCCACTGCATGTAGATCCTACACATGATGAAACATACAAGATTATGCATTCATTCAGACACTCATCCCCATCTCCAGGCTTGATGAGGATGGATGCTTAGATAAGAACTACACCAGTGTAGTTTGGACATGAACAGACACTGGATTCTCAGGTGTAGACTTTATGCAAAAGCAACACCTGTGGGTGAATGTCAAAAGTAAATGCAAGTAGGCCGGGTGAGAGATCAGGGCATGCACTATTTTGCTCTTCTACCGTCAACAGCTTCTGTTCTATGAAGCTTGTCCACCATACTTCCCCCTTCTATGTTTTAACAGTGACACTCTAGGCAGCACTATTCAGTGCTCAAATAAACCCACTTTATCCATTTTGATAAAATGGTGAAAATTTAGACTTAAAACTCTGAATCTTAATACTGGATAAATGATCTTTTCTTCTAAGAACTGGCAGCAACACTGTGGTAAATAAATGTGCTAGATCCAAGCTAAAAAGAAATCAGTGGGGCCTTGTGTTTAAGGGCATACCGCCTCTGATACTGAAAGGCAATACAGTCCTTATGAGTAGTAGCCACGAGTAGCCTCATCTTGACTGCATTCTGGGTTTTTTTGTTTTGTTTTGTTTTGTTTTTTGGTAAAGCGTACATGTCACATGGATGGCATTACTTGATGTCTTGGCTTAAATCCAACTTCCAGTCCCAGCTAGGGTACATCCATTGAATCAAATGTGGAATGGTGAATCACCATGTACATAAATTCCATCAATGCAATGGGTCTACTCCAGTTGTAACTTAACCCACTGCAGTCACACTGTAGTGCTATTGTATCTCCTGCTTCATGAGATGTAACTAGCAAATAAGCAACAAATAGGTTGTCATATTAAAAGCTGACAGTGCAACGGAGCTCACAGTGCATAGTACCCTTCACACAATCTGGTGGAGGTTTCTCCCCCAAAGAAACTTGTTTCTCCACAACATAAGCCCTTTGTGCAGGCTGTGAGGCTGATCTACATTCGCTTCCTGATGCCATTATGACTCTTTCTAACCAAGAAAACCCTCGCATACAACAGAGGCTGCTCACACGCTATTTCACAGAACTTATCTAGACTAAAAACAAGGTATCCAGAAAACAAACAGTGAAAGATTTATCCATACTTACTACACCGCTATGACATCATATCATGAATGTTGCCACCCTCATGGTACACCTTTGTAAGCTATGGGGAGGGTAAGGGATCAGACTGCAATGTAGCTAATTGTGCTGTAATGACATGAGACGAAGGAGAACAACCTGACATTACTCTTTGACTGGAGTGGCCATGTTTGGAATAAGGAATGTTTGGAATCATTCCCCAGCCTTGCCGATATTAAAAAAAAAATAGAGTGATCTCTGCCTTTACATGGTGAAGCACCACAGACATTGGGCAGAATATTCCGTCCCCCCCTTCCATTGATACCATGTATAGGTATGGAAATAAACCTTCAGCATCAGAATTACTTTCTTAGACTAGTACAGATTCCCCCCCCCCCATTTAAGATTTGTTTTCTCTGGTATGAATAAAATAAATGGAGCTACTTAGCCAAACAAGCAAAGTCCCATTGATTCAAAATGCCTTTTATTTAGTTGAGATGGATAGTTTTACTTACTTACAGTACTTGTTTATTTATTTAAATAGTTTCACCTCCTCTTTCTCCTCGAAGGGACCCAGATTGTATCTTAATCTTGGGAGTGCATACATTTACCAATTCTTAGGGAAAGTACAAAATCAGTTTCCATAGATCAAACTCTTGGAAATGTATTCTTTGTTAGGGATCCTCTATTAGAATAAAATAAATTTCAGGGTTTTTTTTTCATGGAATAATTAAGATAAATGAACATATATTTGGGATTCTTTTTAAACAATCAGGAAGATTTAATTTTTCCTTGGTGTTTTAATTGCTCAAGAGCTTTTCATCTTCCTGCATCTATCTCTGTGCAATGCAATTACATTTTGTAATTAGCTAAGTAATTAAAAAGTAATTTTCACATGCCTAGATGTACATGAAATATAAATTTCATTTATCTTATTGTACCAATTGTTTAGTATCAAGTCAGCTGTAACCATTTTTTAAAAAATGATCAAGATACCAACTCAGCTTCTAATTTAAACAGAAACAAAGTCTTCAAAGTGCTGAATTATGAAGATTCCCAGAAATAATGAATGTTCACATGAATGCCCACAGATGCTTCAACCTTCATTTACGTAAAATGATCTAGTGTGGAGGGAAAATATCAGCTATCTAGCATGTTTTTTCAATAGGCCGGAGAAGAACCATCCCTCTATCAAATTCCTATGACTCCTCAATCCCATGGAACGTCTATGTAAAAAAATTGTTCTCACAAGACTGAGATACATCAACAATCCAGGCAGTAGGCTTTCAGTCCTCTGAAACAGTCCCGTTTTCATTTCTGTATCAACAGTGTACTCGTATGTGGCAACGATCTGTTTAATTAACCCATGAGGAGATAGAGCTTCATCATCAACTTCCTTATCCACTTTATACATGGATGTAATAGCTGTAAAATGGAGAGACTCCACAACTGCAGAGGCCCCATGCAAGACAGGGCTCTGGAAAATCATTTCTAATTGTACAGAGAGATTCCAGGATTACAATGGGCTCTTCTTTACTTCGTTCTGGCATCACCCACATGTAGAAGTGTAATAAAAATGGAGAGAAGACCAGTGCTGGTGTGCTCCACCCCCCCTCCTTGAGTGTTGAGTAATCATCATCCTCATCCCCATCATCTTAGAATTACAGAGCTGGAAGGGACCCTAAGGATCACTGAGTCCAGCTGCCGCCAAAGAGACACAGTGGGGGAATCAAACTCCCAACCTCTGGCTCCACAGCCAGATACCTAAACCCCTGAGCTATCCTGCAGTTCTTTAATGTGCAATTTATCTGAATCTGCCTGATGTCTCCTGATCATTGAGATCATCTGTTGAGATGCAGCCTTGGGACGAGGGTCAGAAGTTGCCCACCTAGCAGTGTTTGGTATCAGAAAATAAAAATATTTTATTGTGTTTTTATTTGCAGAAAAACAGTTTAAACATTTAATAACTAATACTGTATAATAATATCTGGACTGGAATCTTACTGCTGTTTGCATAAGGTTTGTGTAACTCATCACACCTAATTATGACTAAGTGATGAGCTACTGGGGCAATTTTTGGTTGCACAGTCAACCATGCAACAAGGCAAGTGACTGGGATGCAACCCAGTACCTTCTTAATTAGCTGTCTCAGGTTATGCAAACCTCATATGAAGACCATTAAGATTCTGACCATTCACTTTGGAACTGGTCACAACACAAGAACATCAGAAGCAAAAGTCATCCTTACCTGGGACAGATGGCTATATTTGAGGGATCAGGAAATATAGGCAAACTCCCAAGTGTTATTCTCTTTTGATCTCCACGTAGTGATCAAAGACAAGTAGAAGGAAAATTTAGCAAATGGAGTTGTTCTTAAGTTGGATTGTTCTTAAGTAGGGACGTTCTTAAGTAGAGACCCCACTGTATTTGAGGGATCAGAAAATACAGTATAGGCAAACTCCCAAGTGTTATTCTCTTTTGATCTCCACGTAGCCATCTGATCAAAGAAGCTCCCTAACATGGAACATTTCCTCAAAAATTGGAGGAAGGAGATATTTATGCATATTCTCTCCCCTGGTATAGATCTGTTCCTCTCTTGGGCAAGCTACACAGTCCCAGAACATACCAGAAGGAATCAGAAAATACAGTATAGGCAAACTCCCAAGTGTTATTCTCTTTTGATCTCCACGTAGCCATCTGATCAAAGAAGCTCCCTAACATGGAACATTTCCTCAAAAATTGGAGGAAGGAGATATTTATGCATATTCTCTCCCCTGGTATAGATCTGTTCCTCTCTTGGGCAAGCTACACAGTCCCAGAGCATACCAGAAGGGAATGGTAAGCCATTCTGAATGCATCTAGAAAACCCTGAGAAGGGTTGCAATAAGTCATAAGTGACTTGATGGCACACAATTACTATTATTAAAGTAAAAGCCCAGAAATGGTGGGACAACACCTGCAAATGACCGTGAAGGGAACACAAACATTAGCACTGGTTTCAAAGGGTGCTCCCATCTCCTAATTTAAGACAACAAGTTTTAATTCACTTAAAGTTAACGCCTTGATTCTGTAGAAGAGATACAGTTCAATACCCAGGAAGCATAATCAGTCATACATAAGTACAATTTTAAAAACAAACAAATTCTACATGCAAACATTCAGAATGAACTACTATCAAATGGAAAAGACAACAACTACTAATAAGGTAATGTGCTGCTATGTTGGGGTTTCAATGCACACAGCAGAAGTTTAAAGCAATTATGCTGCACAGATGCTGTTGCTGTCCAGTGATCTTCTTTCAGTGAGGAAGACTTCATGCGCACAAGGATGATATCCTCTGGTGTGCATGTAGTTCTAAACCCTAGCTCAGGGTAGAAAAGGGAGCTCTGAACTATTTGCTTTGTGACAGATTGCAATAGTTTCCACACTTACTGGTCATGTTATCTACAGCATTTTGGCTGAAGACAATCAAAATGTGTGTTTGTGTGGGTGTGCGCATGTGTACTTATGGATACCTATGTGTGTGCATTTGTATGTGCATATATGTATTACATAAGCTTATTAATACCATCTGTATCTTGGTTCCCATTATCCTGATGAAAATGATATGCAATTTAAGTCTATTATATGCAAATTAATTTAATGTTTTTACATAAACTAACAATGCCACTTGTCTTTAGCTCTGTTTCAATGGAGGCTTGTGATTCTGAACATACGACCTACATCTGCCCTGCATCAACAAGTGTTTGACTCTATTTTTATATCTACGTGCGCAGTAGGGTCTGTTGAGGGATTCTAAGAATTTGACAATATAGCCCTGTTGCAACTGTGTTGCTTGTCCTGTTACACTAATTTATGCTCACAGTGAAAGCATATACAGTGCTGCCAAAAAGCCCTGTATTTTTACTATGTCATGTGTCCTTGTGGAAATATGAAACGGGAATCTTCAAATCCAAATAAAATATTTTGTGGTCAATTCATATCTATTTTGTCAAGATATTTTCATTTTTTTCCTAGAGTCAACTTGCTTTCAAATCCTACATGGGCTGACTGTCACATCACCTTTTAGTTTAATATAGATATTACTCTAATTTTGACCACAGACTTTGAGCACAATCAGCTAATGGTATTACCATAAAACAAATGTCATTTTAAAGGAGAAAAGTGGGATAAAAATATTTTAAATAAATAAAGGTTAATGTGTCAGCCCTGATGCAAAAGCAAGGCTGGCTAATGTTTCTGCAGATTCCATAAGGGTCCTAAATAGAGAAATGCTCTAGAAGTTACATTTCGCTCTCTCACCCTTCAGTCATGTTCATATTTATTCTAGAAAGCACTTACAGGGATACAGTGTATAGTAATTCACTACCGAAGGGATGAGTGATACCTAAGCTAAAGAACTCAGAGGATAACAAAAACTGCCAAATTTATAGGACAGATGTGAAACTATGTTGTTGGACTCCCAGCAGTCCTAGGGAGCACAGTGATAGTGAGTGATTGCAAGACATGTAATCCAGAAACAATTGGAGGGGCACAGTTGCTTTATAACTACCATTTTTAGTGTACACACGAACACACACACACAGAGTCAAAGCCAGCTAACAAAGGTTTGTGCTCTCCATTCATTGACTATACAGTGGGGTCTTGACTTGAGAACTTAATCCGTATTGGAAGGCGGTTCTCAAGTCAAAAAGTCTGTAAGTCAAGTCTCCATTGACCTACAGTGCATTGAAAACCGATTAATCCCGTAACAGGCCGTTTTTGTTCCATTTTGGTTTTTTTCTGGTCTGTAAGTCAAATCTCAGTCTGCAAGTCAAACCTAAATTTTGCGGCCAGAGAAGTCTGTAACTCAAAAAGTCTGTAAGTCAAGCCGTCTGTAAGTCAAGGGTCCACTGTACTTCCAAATGATGGTAACTTAAAGAACGTTCAAAAATCAACCATCTTAGGCAGAACTTCTATATCAATGTTATATCTACTTTAACAGTAACACATTCAAAGTTGTAAGATATTAAAGGAGAAACATGGAAATTATTCCAGTTTGGATAAGGCTAAATAAGGCTCAAAAGGGCTGCATGGAGGCACATAATGTCACTTAAATGGATCCTTCCATTCAGACAATACGTACTTTTCCCAAGTAGTTTTGGGACAAGAAACCATGGTCCTGATTATACTGGTAAAAGAACTGGTGCATGAACTGTGTTTAGCTGCAATTGCATTCATATTTAAAAAGTTGATCACATGATGCACAGAGGATCTTGTTCGGAAGCATGTCATTCAACATTCTCCTGGCAGGGTTGTTTATTTTAGCTCAGGGCAAAATCGTGGTCTAATGTCTCAAATTGCCCAATATGTCTTGCTCTCCCACCTTAGATTGCTCCCACTAAGCAAGCATTACTTCATTTCTAAAACATTTATCTAAAAAAATTCAAAGAAGAATTTTTTTTCAAATTGCATATATACTGAACTTGTCATGAGTTGGGATGGTCACCAACATAAATGGCTTGAAACAGAGATTACAGACAGCAATGCAGAATAAGGTTGTCAATGGCTGCTACTTCCAATGGTTGCTCCAGGACTAGTGTACTGCAGACACCAATTGATGGTGGACAAAAACAGGAACACTCTCACGCTGTGTCCCTGGCCTTCCCACAGAGTTCTACTTGGTTGTTGCAGGAAACATAATGCTGGATTTGGAAGACCTTTGGTCTGTTCCAGCACCACTCTTTTAAATTTCTTACATAATAACAAATGACAACAAGTATGTGGGAACCCCCAAGCACGGAAATATAATTCAACAATGGGATCTTAGGAGCTCTCCTACTCTTAACAAACTGAGGTAGAAAACATTACAACCACAGGATAGTTTCACCAAAATCTTTATTTTGATAAATCACTACGAGATTTGTTAGCACTTCCAGTCCTGATGACAAAAAACCAAGTTGTCCAGTTTTTCTGGTACAAGGCAAGAAGTTCACTGTGGTCAATGTTTGTATTGGTTAATATAAATGGAGCTTAGTAATCAAAACCACAGTTCTGAACAGGAAATTTTACAAAACAGAATCCACAAGCAATATGTGTGTGGTGTTTTTTTTTTTAAACAATAGATGCATTTTCAGCACCTTTGAAAAGAGATCAATTTCAGTATCTGTTCTCCTGCATCTTGAAAATAAATGTCTACTACACTATGGCAGTCCTCATTTATTCTGCATTTTGTTACTAAGAGTATTTAGTTCATAAACATAATGTTATGGTACTGCAAATTAAGCAGCAACATCTTCCAATCTACATCCTGTCCTTTTTTGCCAGACTGTCAGCATTAGCTCAAACCAGCTATCTTCCCTAAAACTAGATGATGGATAACCACTCCGAAAAGTACATCACATAAACATTTATGCTGATTGACTGCACCATGTACTCATGTCATATGCTCATTTGCCCTCTATGTCCACCTCTCAAATAAACAATTATACAAATTATACTTTCAAGAACACTACATCTGGTTACTGAAGTGGCATGTTTCCCATTAAATGGTGACAGACACATAAGATATGTACATGTCTTCAAGGAGACTAGAAGCTCTCTTTTAAGATCAACTGCAGTTTATGTTGGCTAAACCCTAAACTGTGGTTAATCTTAACTATGGCTTATTAAAATAAACTAGCATCATTACCTATGTTTCGAAGTTCCCTTCTTTTTTAAAGAAAAGTTTAACTGTAACCACTTTTTGGTGAGTTTGAGATTAGCTTAAATTAGATTAGATTAAAAGTAGATTTAAGTATAACCAGTTTGTTGGGTTAGGCGCAAAAAGCAACAGAAAAAAAAATGAAGTGTAGGCTTTCTAAACTAGTGGCCATATTGGTAGAGTGGTGATGATGCACAAATCTTTGGTTCATGTATGCTTATTTCCATTCCCTAGCTGTGCATGCAGGCCAAACATAACTATTAGGTGCCTCCTCTATAGTTTGCTTGAACTGTAAGTTGTATATTTTTAAAAAAATCCTACATATCCAATGGGTTGCTTGGTGTTATTTTATGGTAGATATAATTGTAGTAGCTTCATCTCAAGCGATGACACAACTCATATTTTCATCTTGGTACGGTCTCATATTCCATCCAATCCCAAATTCAAGCATAAGTAACCAAGCTCCAGCAAAAGCCTATAAGCCATACCTATGGACTTTAGGATCACAGTACCCCATGATCAATGTTTGGCAGTTTCACAAAAGATTTTTTTAAATCATTATTATTTTTGAGGCAGAACAGCATACCCTCGAAGTCTACATTGTGGATCCTTTCAATTCCATGTCCCCCTCAATGTAATATTGGTCATAGTGATACTCAAGGATGTGAGTTGTATAAAAAAATGGTTTGTATCACATTATTTGTATGATTTATGGAGCACATGACAGCAACAAATGATTTTACATATATTTTTGTTTTTAACGACTTCTGCAGCTATGTTACTCAGAAGCTTCATAAAATCCTTCCGCTCTCCCCCAATTAAATATAGTACTTACCTCTGGGGGGCAAGGTTTTCCATCTATTATCTCTAAATCAACAGCATTATGACCACTATGAATATATGTAATGAAAGAATTAATTTTCAGACTGATCTAATAATTTTTTTTTACCAACGGGCACACATACCAATGAAACCTGAAGAAGGAGGGTTGGGCTGTATCTTTTCCTTAGTGTTCTCCTGAATGATATCCCAGAGCTGCCATATAAACTTTGGATGGAGGATATAAAATGGCTGGTTTGGATTCTTCCTGCGATGTTGTACATATGGAGTAAACAAGTTATAGTCTGGCTTCTTATACCACTGGTAGGGGAAACAAATGAACACAATAAGGTATTTTCTCAGTGTGCTTTACACATACCATACTAAAACTGAAGCATTACACTGGGAATTGGTCGATGGATATAAAAATATAATGGCATCACATAAAATCAAGTCTATCTGGATTTCTGTAACTTTTTATTGAAAACCATATTTTTTCTGTTAGGATATCTAATAGACTTCCAGATCTCTCATAGACACCCTCCCTTTGATATTTATTGTTTTTAATTTTTAATATTGTGTATTTAGGAAGGAAATTTTTAGCAAGTGTAACTTGCATAGAAAGCTGCACCTGCTGAAATCCCCTCCTATAGCTAGGTACAAGAGACTGTATTCCATTACATGGGGCTCTTATGCAGAGTTGACATATTCTGAAAAAAATATAACAAAGACAGTTAGAGAAAAGATTCACTGCTGGAAATATAATTCCAGTACTCTCTCTTCTTGATTTGCCTTCTGGCTGCCCAAGTGGAGTTTTTAAAATGTGTTTTTGGTGTTGCTTTGGCTTACCATCTTTTAGTATGATACTTGTTTGATCTTTTTTAGTATTTGTAGACATACTGTTGTTAGATTCAAATATTGTCTTTTAATGATGTAACCCACCTTGGGTCCTTTTTAAGGAGAAAGGTGGGGTAAAAATATTTTAAATAAATAAAAACTGTTCCCAGTACATTTCAAATCTTTCTCAGTAATCATAAGGATTAGAAAGCAGTTTCAGAAGCTTTATTTAATACACACATGTACTAGAAAGTAATAGTTCCAGGTTTCTATTTGTTGCTGTCTTGGCCGTACCAGCATATAAAATTTATACAGTATTATCTACGCTATTCATATATGATAAATGGCTCCCTCTAGTGCCAAGAGACACAAGTTCATTGTGAGCAACTTATAAATCATATTACTGTACTGTATTTAATTCTACATGGAATTTAAAAAACGAATGCTTCACACTTGTGGATCCTGTGCAATCAAACAGGAATTAAGGAATCATCTTCCTCTGTTCCACATACTTGAGCTCCAAAAATATTACAAAATGGCTAATATTTCTAAAATGTGTTAACGTTAGACCTTTTTTTAAAAAATTCACTACTGTCTAGTGTGGAAATAAAGTTAAATAAGAGCAGATAGAGGACAAAAACTATCTTTGAATAGCTTCAAGAACTGGTTCAGATCTAATTCATGCTCTGGCTATTCCTACCATCGTGGTGCTTCTAGTTCACAAGCTGACCAGCTTTTGGCTTTCTAGATGTCACTCTACTACAGTTCCTGTCCCCCATAACCACTGCCTATGATGACTCAGGGGAATGGAAATTGGTGTCCAACAATATCTGGAAGACCACTTAGCTCAGCAATATCTGGAGGTCCGCAGAACCCACAGATATTTAAACAGAGATCTTATAAAGGCCAGGCTTGTTGGAACTGTTACTGTTCCAAGCCAAGCAAGAGTTGAAGTGAGACAAACAACAGATCATGCTTCTCCTCTTTAATTTTATGTTTAGTGCTTTGGGAAAGCAATTTATTAGAAGCATCTTCAGTTTTGAAAAAAAGAAACAAATATCAATATTGAACCCCATTTCTTTAGATAAAGACATTACGGAGTGATATTACAGCACACCGTTGACTGACAACCTACCACATTCAGATTTGCAGAATAGGGAGCAGGATCCCAGGCCACTAGAATAACATCTTTATATAAGGAGTTCTCAATGAAGTGATGGTTTGGATTAGTAAGAATCTGGAAAAAAAATACAACATGTACCCATTAAAGGGCTTTCAAAGAAGTACAGTATTTAAAAAAAAACCTCACAGACTTTTGTTTTAAAATGAAGAGCCAAGATAACTATGGAGTTCTGGGTTTTGTTTTTGCAAAGTTTAAGTTACCTGAGTATCTGCTTAAAAAATGCATCGTTCCAGCTCTCAAGCTGCAACACTAAGGCCTAACTAAGCAGCTGAGCTGATGTCACAGGCTTCTGTTCTGTGGCAGCTACGATGTTATTGTGGTAACATGCCAGGTCCCATGCTTCAGGTGACTTAGGAACACCTATTACTGCACCTCCATACCAAAGTTTTCCATGCTGAGGATGCATGGATGCTTCTTTACAGGAAGCGTTGTTAAGAATTATTTTAAGACCAACTCAAAAAGAATTAAAATGTGTTCCAGTCAAAATTAACACATAATAGCCCTCTTACAAAAGACAGTACATTGAACTACCTGGAGTCATGTTTTGTCGTAGAGTTTGCCCAGGACTAGATTACAAATTATACATAATAGCAATCACAGAACTGCAGAGGTGGAATGGATGCTATGGATTGTTGAGTACAGCCCCTGTCAAGGGGGCACAGTGGGGAATTGAATTCCTAACCACAACAATAGAATTATTGTGGTTAGGGTTTGCTCTGCAGACAGATATCTGAACCAGCAATTCATGCAAAAACATTATTATCTGGAGTTATAAACAACGCTTCGAGATACATATACTTGCCATATAGGTTTCTAAAGCAGCCATAAAAAGAAATAACATGAACAAAATATTAAGGAACAATAATTGTCCCTCAAAACTTCTGCTTTTCAGTACCTCTTTAGGTCCATCAAATGTACTGCAATAAAAATATCTTACACTGTTTATCAGTGAACCATGATATAAAAAAAAATTACGTATTCTGGTTGTCAGTAAGTTGGCCACATCTGAGTGGGAACATGGAATTCTCAACATGTCAGGAAACACAACGAGCAAATCCTAACCACAATAATTATATTGCTACCCTTAATGCTGACCCTTAATACACTGGAATTCAGTCAGAAAATACTCCAGAATTCTCTTGGTGAAATGTGTATTTTTAAAAATTCTGGTACATGAGGTTTCACACCCACTAAAATAAGAAAAAGGCAAATGGTTAAACACCTACCATAGTCAAAGAAATAAAATGTAAAGCTTTATTTAATTACGCTATGCTTAGGGTCAGGCTTTTAGAAGTGCTTGGAACTGGCTGAACTGTACCCATGACTAAATTTATGTTGAAATCATTATATATCAAATTGGTCTAGCACCCAAAAATCAATGTACTACTGTAAAAATCAATTACAATTTTCATTTTACTTCCCTTTTTAGATATTGATTAGTGATATATTATACTGCATCTCACCCAATATTTATTTTCAGTATGGCAGTAGCTTTACATCATTACAAAATTTGTTTGCAACAGTATTGAAAAAGTAAGTTTCCTTGCAGATACAAATTAGCATATATTTTAACAAAGCGAACTCCTTGAAATGTGTCCTTTTGTAGTTGGCTGAATGTCTGAACTACTGTGTTGCATTTACAGCTTTGAACTGCAGCTCAGAGAAAGAATTCACAGACAGAACTGGGAACTGGCCATGATGCTTCATGCAAGGAAGAAAGAGAATTCAAAGAAATAACTTTTCCAGGCTCTGATTTTTACAGTAAGAGCAGGCATCAGGAGGTCTGAGCTGGAAATACAATCCAGCCAGTCTGCAAGGATTTCCACTCTGCCTCAATAATGACAATCACTTCCCTCACCTATTATTACCATTTTCTGAAGCTTTCACTGAAGACTTTTCTAAAGAACATTAAAGATTAAGACTGATGAAAGAGGAAGAAGAAAGGCTATTTTGTGGGGACAGGAGAAAGTATTCTTTGGAGACAGGAGGCTTGCTGCTAAGATTAAAGGAGGCAACTTTTAAAAAGAATCTTTTCTCCTGCAGGAGAAAATTCTCCTGCACCAAGCAGTGCAGAGCAGCAGTAATTGACAGCCACACTTTTCCTTCCATAGTTCAATGTGGCTAGCCCTTTCTTTCACCCATAGCAAGGCTTCTGAACAATACTACATCATAATGTAGAACTGCTGCATCAGAAAATGATTCCATCAGTCTGAAGAATGATCAGAGAGAGTATTCTTTGCACAGCTCTATTTATAATATCAGAACTTTCCTACTAGAACAGAGCAAGTGACAGACAAAAAGCCATATAACCTTTGTTATCCCAGGTTATGTAACAACAGAGTTTCTATCAGAATTGGCATCCTTAGCACTTCAGAGAAACTGGGGCATGTTAGGAAGTTAAAGAACCCTTTGCCAGTGCCTCCCATTGAATGGCTTGAGCATATCATAGAAAATGACCCTGCTGTTCAGAATTAAATAGAAAGGGCCCTTTGCCTGTTTATCAGCTTATGCAGGAATCAATCATGTAGGAAATGTTGCTGTCCACTCCTCTTCTAGGAAATTAAAGCACATGCTATGTTAAAATAAAATCAGTTGCAAACAAAATGGCAACTCCAAAACCATTGGACATGAACAAATATTAGTTCACATATCTAGTAACAACAGTTAGGGCACTTGAGTGTGGATATGCATTCTCCTCTTGCATAAGGATAACAGAAACACAAGAGTCGTACAGGTCAAACAAAACCCAAGGTCATCAAATCACACTCTGGGCTAAAGCATGAATGTTTAGGAAGAAAGGCATGATTGTTTGACTTCCTATTGTTTTTCATTTTCTGTATGTGAAAACAAAGCTGTATATCTCCATATAACAATCTATATGGGATCCATCTGGTACCCAAATGCAGCAAAAATCCTGTTGGAACCCATAAGGCAGAGCAGTTAATTCATCCCAACATGCACTGGGATTCTGTAGGGAGTCGAATGTATGGAATGTATATTCTGTTGTGTGCATCAATTCAGAGAAGTCAAGAGGGTTGCAATTACAATTTTATTTTTTGTGTGTTGACCACTAGAGGACACTGCAGATTAAAGAAAACTTTTATTCAAGTTTGGACATGGAACCTAAAAGTAACCATAGTATCTATATTTGTTGCAAGTTTCAAAATCTTGTTTCTTTGCATTAACACCAAATATGACACTTTGTTCTGCCCCTCCTCTCCCCCACCCATCTATAACAACGAGTAGCACGAGCTGGTGAAGGCAGTATGGACAAGAAAGGAGATAAAGAGACATAGACTGAATTGTGTTGGGTTGTTCGGCTACAACTCCCATAAACATAAGTAGCATCAGTTGTTGGATTGCAGCAGTGACGGATGATATGACTTGCTATCCAAGGTTTAGAGGATCCCAAATTGCCTTAAAGAGACTTACCTGAGAATTAATGATGCGCATGGTGGTTTTATTCCCAACATCTTTCTCATAACCTCTTGTTGGAGCAGAATTGAACCGCAGAACTGCATCATGGGAATCTAAAGCCAGACAAGAGGTACATTTAGACATGTTTGCGTAAGTTGTGTACATAGATGCTTACCTGGAAAACCATGTTTCATCAGATGGGATATAATTGATTTCCTGGTATCTAGAACTGGAGCCTTGATACTGATATTTGAAGAACTGCTATCCAAGAAAATAGAAGTATTCTCTGGGCTACTCCACTGAACAAGCCCACCAAAAATTCAGTACAATCAGAAAACAATCTAAGAAAAATCCTATGTAAAGGAAGTTTGTTAAGCTATCTGAGTAAACGGACTTTGGTTCTATTGTGATCCTTTTTCTTTGTTCGTGTCAGAAGCAATCCAATGGTGCTTCCAGAATAGAAACATCATCCTACAGGGCACTGTCACTGCCCAGGGAATTCCCAAACGTGTTCAAGGTCCTCACATTGTTTGGGAAGGCTCCATCCTTGTTCCTCTCTGCTATAATATATAACCATCCCATGCATGCAATGAGAATATACTGGCAAAATTCAGAGTTGATCTCTATGCTTCATTACTTTTTTATTCAGCAGTTGCTGCTTTAAAAATTATACTTTTAGAAACATTAATGTTGGGAAAGTGCTTCACAACAACAAATCTGAAATTTGCAATCTAGTAACCTTTATGTCTACAGTTTTTAAATATATATATATACAGTATATAGTTTTCAAGTGCTTCACAACAACAAATCTGAAATTTGCAATCTAGTAACCTTTATGTCTACAGTTTTTAAAAATATATATACAGTATATAGTTTTCATGTCTTTCACATCAGATTTTTTTCAAATGTTAATATTATATTCACTGCCATACTTTCAATATGAATGTTTGTTAAATGATGCTATAAAATGACTATATATTCCTCATATTATGAGTAAACAACACTCTATAATTGCATTCCCCTTCATGTTGACAATGAAGGTTACTCCATTTCTTCTACAGGATTCTTGCCCACAATAGTAGATATGGTAATCATCTGAATTGAATTCGCCCATTCCCCTTCACGGATTGCTGCCTTGTCGTGGCAAAGGGGCTTGAGTAACTCAGAGAAGCTATGGGCTATGCCGTGCAGGGCCACCCAAGACGGACAGGTCATAGTGGAGAGTTCTGACTAAACGCAATCCACCTGGGGTAGGAACCGGCAATTCCACTCCAGTATCTTTGCCAAGAAAACTCCATGAACAGAAACAAAAGGCTAAAAGATATGACACTGGAAGATGAGCCCCTCAGGTCGGAAGGCGTCCAACATGCAACTGAGGAAGAGCGGAGGACAAGTACAAGTAGCTCCAGAGCTAATGAAGGCAGAAAGTGAGGAGGAATGAAAGAACCTTATAACGAGGGTGAAAGAGGAGAGTGCAAATAATGGTCTGAAGCTCAACATAAAAAAAAAAATCTAAGATTATGGCCACTGGTCCCGTCACCTCCTGGCAAACAGAAGGGGAAGATATTGAGGCAGCGACAGATTTTACTTTCTTGGGCTTCATGATCACTGCAGATGGTGACAGCAGCCACGAAATTAAAAGACGCCTGCTTCTTGGGAGGAAAGCAATGAGAAACCTCAGCAGCATCTTAAAAAGCAGAGACATCATCTTGCTGACAAAAGTCCGGATAGTCAAAGCTATGGTTTTTCCAGTAGCGATGTATGGAAGTAAGAGCTGGAACATAAAGAAGGCTGACCACTGAAGAATTGATGCTTTTGAACTGTGTTGCTGGAGGAGGCTCTTGAGAGTCACCTGGACTGCAAAGAGAACAAACCTGTCCATTTTGAGGAAATCAACCCTGAGTGCTCACTGAAAGGACAGATCCTGAAGCTGAGGCTCCAATACTTTGGCTATCTCATGAGAAGACTCCCTGGAAAAGATGCTGATGTTGGGAAAGTGTGAAGGCAAGAGGAGAATGGGACGACAGAGGATGAAATGGTTGGACAGCATCATCAAAGCTACCAACATGAATTTGATCCAACTTTGGGAGGCAGTGGGAGACAGGAGGACCTGGCGTGTTCTGGTCCATGGGGTCACAAAGAGTCGGAGATGACTTAACAACTAAAGAACAACAACATAATTACATTGTGAAATGCTTAATTGCCTAGCAGTTTACTTTTCTATGCAGTTTTTGCAGATCTTCATGAAAATACAGTATATAGTAGGGAAGAGGGGAGGCATGTATACTTCTGTATGCTTAATGGGGGAAGGATGTGGTATACATGTAGCTAATGATGAATACATTTTTAAAGCTGCCATATCCTTTGGTAAAATTTTGTTTATGTCTCAGAAGTCAAAATAATATAATATTAATGACAGAAAAACAGAAGAGGGCACTCAAACTCTAGTGCTTGACTTAGAATTCTAGAATTCGCTATTTATTTCTTTGCTTCTGTGTTAAAAACTGATTTACCTATAAACTATGAATTAGGCTATGTCCTTTTGTATTCACGTACGTAAAATGACAACATCAAAATAACCAATACTAATTTTGAAAGGCAAGATGGCAGGAGAGATGATATAAATGCTGAAAAAGCCTCGGTGCTATGATGATTTAATCTCTGGGAAAGTTTGTCTAAACAACAACATTTTCAAGAATTATTTGAAAATTCATAGTGGACATTTTTTGTATTTTGAGAGTTTTAAAATTATATTCTCCATTATATATTCTGATATTTAAGATTTTAAGTGAAAGGGAAGTATACTAAAAATGCTAACACGCTCCTCAGTCCCAGTTCAAATGCAGTAAAGCATTCTTAGGGTCGGTTCCTATGCTGACTATAATGTAAGATGTTGATTTTCACATCATGCGTAGAAACCTAAGCAGTAGCCTAAATATGTTGTTCTGACAGTTCTTGAAATCATATTGTCATCCCACATGATATAAAGCTTCATATTAAAATGGTATCATTTGAATCAGCTTCTGTCAATTAGCTCCAAGGTTTAACCACAGTTTAGAAAGTTACTTTTAAATAAGTAAGAAAAGTAAAAAGTAACTTTAAAAAACGCAAATACTTAGTGCTGTAGTTATAACACAGCTAAAAATGACTCTTGTTATTCAGAAGTAATAAAAAGGACTACTTTTTAGTTAATTTAAAAAAAAAACAAAATGTTAAAAGGTGCTCATTTATGGTGCAAAACACGTCAAAAGTAGGTATGCCACATACTCATGTAACTATAAAAGCAATTAAAAACTATTACCTTATTCCTTAAAGGAACAAGGTTATAAATTGCTATATTACACTGTTAATGCAACTTGGTTACATTTTATTCATTAGATAATCTTTAATTGCAAGTTGTAGCTAATTACTACTAAGTGCTGACTTTTATACATGTAAAATGGAAGAGCTGGAAGTGGAGAGAAATGAGTGAGTGAGTGAGTGAATACAGTAAATAGTAGCAGTATTAAATCAGGTGAGATATGTATTTTTCTTGCCCAGTTCTCTATCACCAGTGATCAAGATGGAGAAGGGTGAGATGGCAAGAGCAGCACAGTATACAATGTCCCAAAGTAGCAATCCCCCAAGTCTCATTCTCTAGGCCAGCATGGAAGAGAGAGTTGCAGTCGAGGGGGGGGGGAGGGAGGGAGAAACAGATTGTGGCCAGAGGAATCAGGGAGGCTGCAACAGAGGGAGAACCAAGTCAGGGCAAACATTTCAGCATGAGAGAGAATTTGAAACTACTGATATACATTATTTGAAAAACATGTTTTGAACACTTTAATTATGCTATGTACAAACACACAACTAGGTGGGGGCATGATTTCAGATCCTGCTCTGTTTGTTGTTGCCTTCATTGTAAAAAATAAAACTTGCCCAGGTCTTCCAGGAGTAAAATTTAAAAGCTTTGTTGGGTAATACCCCTTGGGCCATCAAAATATTTAAACAAACCAACAAAAACAGGCAAGGAAGGGAACTTTCAGAACTCTTCACTAGGCTGGGCATAAAAAAACATGGGAACATAGAAAGAAACAGAATTCTAGCCAGGCGTTGTAACCATGATTTTAACTCATGGATCACAGACCTAAGTTTCCGTTTTTCAGTCACATAGAAGAATACCACAAACAGCTGCTCAAGGCAGCCTGGATGATGTAGGGATAGCCATGGGGGGGGGAACTTGCTGCAAGCCAAAATAAGAGCTATAGGTGTTGGTACAAGCAATAGACAATTTGCAGAGTAATGTTGTCAACAGAGATGGAGATAGGAAGCATCTGCCTTGCCGAGCCTGGAGTCTCCATTTTGGAACTTAGGTAATTACAGTTCCCATGACTGCAACATCTGGCCAGAATACATTTCGAACTCCTCTGCTCTTCTTTTCCCCCCAAGAAGATCCCCAAAGGACTCTAATGCTTCTCTCTCCCTCACTCTAAAATACATTGCGGTAACCCGGTGGAAGTATCACCCAGCTGTGCTTGTTAATTAACTCCTGAAACACATGGCTTTCTTTTTCATTGTGCTGGAAAGAAGTTTATTGTTTTTAATCAGAACAGCTGAGGAGGAAATAGAAGTGGGCAGGGAGGGGGAGTTAACACAAGTATCTTGAAAATCAACAGTTTCCCCTCCATGTATACAAATTTACAGCCTTACACAATCACACACACACACACACACATACACAATATATATATATAGTGTGTATACACACACCCACATATATATATATATATATATATATATATATATATATATATATATATATATATATATATATATATATATATATATATATATATATATATATATATATATATATATATATATATATATATATATATATATATATATATATATATATATATATATATATATATGTATGTATGTATGTATGTATGTATGTATGTATATATGTATGTATATGATGTATATGTATATGTATATGTATATGTATATGTATATATATGTATATATATACACACACACACACCTGTGTATGTTATGTGCCATTATGTTGCTTCAAACTAAGGGGGACTCAACAGGGTTTTCAGAGTATGTGAGATGTTGAGAGTGGTTTAAC